TCGCCATTCCTTATGAGGAATTTATTCCTTATATATATGTATATAACATATACAAGATATGTTTCTTCTATGATATGAGGACCGGAAACACACAACATAGCTATCGTATATCATCATCATCTTAGGCCTTACAGCCCAGGGTGGGCCTTAGCCTGGTCCAGTATGTCTCTCCAGACTGCTCTGTTCAAGANTGGTGTGCTTCACCAGACTTCGCCATTCCTTATGAGGAATTTATTCCTTATATATATGTATATAACATATACAAGATATGTTTCTTCTATGATATGAGGACCGGAAACACACAACATAGCTATCGTATATCATCATCATCTTAGGCCTTACAGCCCAGGGTGGGCCTTAGCCTGGTCCAGTATGTCTCTCCAGACTGCTCTGTTCAAGACTTTCTCCTTCTTGCTTCTGCAGCCTTCTGGTTTGCCATAGAGCAGTTGTCTTGGCATTCTGGTCTCCTGCCATATCGTATATGTTTCTACAAAATAACTACGCTAAGCGATAGCTAATCTATGAGCCCTGTCATTATCAATGCACATGTCGATGTGCGAATGAGACCACTAATAAAATTTGTCCAATTCTGAAAAAACAATTAAATAAAAGAGATTTGTAGCTGTATTTCCATTTCTCCTTGAAAACCGCAGACGTCAATGTAACTGGCAACTTTAATTTCCATAGACAACCCTTGACTTCTAATTTCGAATTCAATCACCGAACGCTGGAGCCGGCTCGGATTTACTTCAACCACAATTTGAATTTCGTATTAGGTTCGGTTTCTATATTGTTTTTAAAAAAATATATTGGACGGTGAACTCATTTTATATCGAATTAGGAATAGATACTTGTTAACATATTGTTGTGATATCACAATTTAAACTTTAGTGAAATATTACAATTATACACATTTTATGTACTCCTGGAGAATATATTACCTGCACTATTAACTATTAACAATTAAACAAAAACCACGTAAATAAAATAACTCGTTCACTTTATAAAGAAAATATATATATATATATAGAGAGAGAGAGAAAGAGAGAGAGAGAGAGAGAGAGAGAGAGAACATACTTTAGTGCACACCAAAACACAATTAACATCATAGAGCAAGAGCCCGCGACAGCCAGACCTTCGTTATTTTATAAAAGCTGAAAGTTTCTCTGTGTATCTCTCCAACACAGGTAAGAACGACCCGCGATTATAGAGTTTCGATTGTGGTTACTTGGGCAGGTAACAGGCAGTAAAGGTATATAAAATAGTACCTTAAATTCGTTAAAGTATAAAGGTCTCTTTTTTTAATATTTACTCCAGAATATCTTTAGAAATCACGATATCCGTTGCCGGACACTTTTTCCAGTTGTTACCCCCTGCCAGACACCCCTAAACTTTAATAAATTTTAATTATACTTTCGTTATACTATAAAAGCTAAATTTTATATATGTTACTTAGGGACTTATAAAAATATGTTACCCCAATAGCCGGACAGTTTTAATGGTTCTTACATCTTGCCAGACACATTGAGAGCCCGCTGTAGGTGCGAGCGCGAGGTAGCAACTGTTCAAGCGGGTGTGAGCGAGATAGAGTGCTTAGTCTATTGTGATCT